TGACAGTTCTCTCAATTGTTTTTATAAGAAGAGGGAAGTGTCTTCGGAGAAATAAAGGTGTTTGCTTTGACTTCTGCTTTGATTGGCTAGTGGAGTTAGAATAAACAAGTTTCAGGTTTTCAGCAAATATAATCAAGTACAAATGTTTTCTAACATTATTGAGTGGTTTAGAGTATTGTCCCTTAAAATAATTAGCTGTGGAATTGCCAGAGATGTGTTTCCATTATAACATTGTTTTCTAATTTAACAACTATAAGCAAATGATAGTTAACAATTTTCTGGTACCAAGGAATACCAAAGGCAATAGCTAGAATCAGTAATCTACATGTTAAATATATTAATCAAAGGGTTTACTTCAAATGATGGACATACAATATATCTGAGAGATATGAATGGTAGTACTACAGGAAAAACTATTCTGAGCAACTAAATAAATTACATAAAAGCTTTAGAATAAATTGAGCAAATGGGAAGATAGTAAAAAGTCTTGGTAAGGAGGGAAGGAGATACAGAACTTCAGACATTTACCAATTTTTTCCCTTAGTGACAGTGACAAATCATCTAAAACCATTTTTCATGATTGAAGAATTTTAAGTGAGATGGTTTAGTATGGACGTGTGGATATGTGTTTTTGTTTTTTTCATTTCAAAGCCACGTTTAGCCGCATGGTATAGGCACAGAGTAGTGAGACAATTGTATTTTTTGTTTTTAATATGTTGTTAGGGAAGACTTTAAATACACAAAATAGAGCCATCATGTACTCATCACACAGCTTCGGTAGATATTAACTAGTGGCCGATCTTGTTTTATCTGTACACTTCTCTACTTCCACTCTTGCACATTATTTTGAAGCAACTCGGGACATCATATTTTATGCACAAATATTTCATATTTCTAAGAGATATGGATGCTTGCAAAAAAACCATTATCATACCAAAAATTTTAATAATTCCTTAATATCCAGTTTCCTGGCAGTTTTCAAATTTCCATTTGTCTCTGGAATGTCCTGAAGTGTTTAGTTGTTTGACAGGGAGTTATATTTAATAAGGGTGGGTGTTCTGCCAGGCAAATATGATGAAGTGAGGGAGGGGGCAGGACACTTGAGGTGCGTGCAAGAGAGTGGACCTCAGTCTAAGCTATAATGGACTTTGAACTCTAAGCTAAGGCAGGAGATGACCTGAGAGGGGAGTGGAATCAATGGCTTGTAATTCCTGGTGGGGTCAAAGTATTGTTGGAGTTGGGGTGCTAGAAGGAGCAACCTGAAAAGATAGGGAGTGATGATTGGAGGGTGGGGTGCAGATGAAGTAGAGATTATGGAGAGACTGTAGTTACTGTGTTGGCACGTTCTAGGACAGGATATCGATTGAGGGAGTGAGTGGCTATAGTAGGGTAGAGGGCAGGGTTGTTTGCCTATGAGGCGGTCAAGAAACTGAGAAGGCCAAGTATCGCAACAGTCGCCTAGGTGAGTGAGTGAATCACTTGGACTTATGACAGGCCAGTGAGATAGGAACTAAAATCTGGGAGGCTTGAGGGGGTGCCTGGGTGGCTCAGTCGTTAAGCGTCTGCCTTCGGCTCAGGTCATGATCCCAGGGTCCTGGGATCGAGTCCCGCGTCGGGCTCTCTGCTCCTTGGGAGCCTGCTTCTCCCTCTGCCTCTCTCTCTCTGTCTCTCATGAATAAATAAATAAAATCTTTAAAAAAAAAAAAAAAAGATGAAAGGATAGTACTGTGTGTGTGTGTGTGTGTGTGTTGTGTTTTTGTGGAACCATTTGGAAGTTGCAGACATCATGACATGTCACCTCTAAGTGCTTTAGCCTGGATGACCTAAAAACATGGTCATTCTACACAATTGCAATACATTATGTGATGTACTTTTAATAAAGTTGTTATTATATTGTTTTGTGTCAGTCTCAGCCTATCTGTGGTGATGCTGTCAGCTAGGAATGCCTGGGGGGGCACTCACCTGGGTCCCACATTACTTGTGATGAGCCCGTATTTGAGCTAGTATTGTGACTGGATCAGCCCTGGTGGTTCTTACGATTGCAAGACACACCTCAGCAACAGCCATCAGGGAACTTTGAAAAAAAACCACAAGGCTTATTACTTACATGTCCTAGAGGGTGCATGGCATGCCCAGGGCCACATGGCGAGGTGTGCTAAAACAGAGCACAGATTGGGGTTGACAGTGGGTTGCCTAAGTTTTTGTGGGTTCACTCTTTATTGGTGAATTTAAAATATAAGAGCAAGATCTAAAGAGTGGGAAGGGAAAAGTAGGGCCACTCAAGTTATGTGGGTCACCCAGGGCTTTCTAAAAGAGGAGCTTCATGTGTGGGGCAGCCTGGCTGTGTTGTATAGCTGGGGGTCTGTTTATTTGAGATGTCTTTGAAATGGAGGTCTTGGCAATCAAAAGCTTTAATGTCAGGCGCTTCCATTCAATCAGAAAAGCTAGGGGCGCCTGGGTGGCTCAGTCGTTAAGCATCTGCCTTCGGCTCAGGTCATGATCCCAGGGTCCTGGGATCGAGCCCCGCATCGGGCTCCCTGCTCTGCGGGGAAGCCTGCTTCTCCCTCTCCCACTGCCCCTGCTTGTGTTCCCTCTCTCCCTGTCTCTCTCTCTGTCAAATAAATAAAATCTTTAAAAAAAAAAAAAAAAGAAAAGCTAACTGTCAGGCATTTATATTTTAACATTGATTCATTTTTATATTTTAAAGACTTGTGAAAATTTTAAGGAGAATTGGAATTTTCATCAGTCTTTTTTCTGAGAAAGCATCCCAACAGCCTGAGTTAATGAGTAGATTTCTCTGTTTAATTCTTGGCTGACATCACAGGGCCTCTCAATAAATGTTATCAATAGATGGCAAGACATTACAAACAACAAACAAGGAATAGAAACGCTTACTCCTTTTCAGTGGGGGGTTTTGGCATGAAAAAGTTAAACTTTTTTTAATGGCGTGGTCGGATGGTTGTTCATGCAACTGCCTCTGAATTTCTTATGATCACCAGTGAGTCAGTTGAAAAACAGAGTTTATTTAAATGGATACTAGTCATTCCTGCAGGGGAAAAAAAAGCCAACACTGATGTACTTCCTAGCTCCTACTGCCACAGAAAAGTCTGATTGTGACGGTGCAGAACTTTTTTCTTGCTAAATGTGTCACATGACATTCTACTTTTTCATAATAAAGATTGTAAGCTGCCGAAAGCTTACTTGTTTGCTGAAATCTTTTAATAAATATTTTACAAGCTTTGCCAGAGACATATTTGTCATCTGGTGGACACAGTGTCTGCATCTTAAGGTGATTCAGCAACAGAAAAGAAGTGGTGTCAGAATCGAGGCCTGGCAACTCCTGTCTCAGTTGTGCTTTTGTTTTGCTTTTAGGTATTCCAAATGCTGCTAGAGTTCTTGGAGCAAAATATTGCCAAGGTGTGGGAAGTGCTTTCTTAGCAGAGTATTGCTACCCTACAATAGTTGCATCTTCTCTCCAGGCTGGTGCTTTTGGATTAATATGCCCACCAAACCTGTTTCATTACAAGTCTGTTTATTAACATCATGCGTAATGGTGATCAAACCTATGTTCTCTGGCACTTCACTATAAAGGATTTTGCTCCTTGAGGGGATGACCCCGCCTTATCCTTTTTTTGTATGCCTCACACTGTAGTCTCTGTATTAACTACTTTGTGCTAACATCACTACATATTGAGCTAAGTTGAATCAGTATTCATATATATGTATATGTTTATATATATGTATGTGTGTTTAGGTATGTGTGTGATTAGTTTTACAATCAGAAACAAGAGTACAACTTTTGTTAACCCTATAGATATATTCCTATTCAAAAGGAGAAATCAGAATGAATAGCAAATTTGAAGAGAGTTGGAACATTTCAAGTCTATGTAGGTATTAAAATTTTAGATTTTTTTTCACCACTGATAAAACCTATATGGTAAGGAAAATTACTTGGTTGAAGACTAGGGCAGACTATTGCCTCTCTATATGTTGAAGGTGGTGGGCTCTTTTATAAAGAAAAAGAAAGTTTTATGTGCCTACAAACCATTTACATTTGCAGTGGAGAAAATTCTAATTACCCATTTAATGTTCTTGTTCTGTAAAAAACCTACCAGAAACCTTTGATTTCCTCTTTTCTGGATTACTGTTAAATGTTTACCTGAAACCAGCACAATGTATATATATCTTTTAATTACTTTGTCTTCTAAAGACTAAAGCACCAGAAACAAAACAAATGAGCAAAGGGAAAAAATAGAGGGAGAGAGAGGCACACTCAGAAACAGACTCTTAACTATAGAGAACAAACTAATGGTTACCAGAGGGGAGATGGGGAGGAGAGGGGGTGGCTAAATGGGTGATGGGGATAAAGGAGGGCACTCATAATGAGCACCGGGTGATGTACAGAAGTGTTGAATCACTATATTGTACACCTGCAACTAATATTACATTGTATGCTAACTCACTGGAATTTAAGAAGAACTTTAAAAAAATAGACTCAAGTGCCAGGGACTTGGCACAACTGTGGTAAAATGTTGAGAATATACAGATTCTTATCGTGAATAAATTCACCATGCCCTAGAAGGGGTATTGCCTTGTAAAATATATTAGAAGCAAAGCTGTCCAATTTTATAGGCCAAAATAAAAAATATGTGAGCACAAATGTGGAAATAATGTAACTTCCATAAGGACTTTTGCTTTAACACAAATTCAGTGAGACTTGTTCTGTAGCTTGCTACTGCCACCTACTGGTTCTCAATTCTCGGTCTTCAGCTACTGGTTTACTGTAATACGTAGAGATAAAAGGAAATTAGGTCTATTTATTGGAATCCTTAAAATATTCTTTGCTTAGGGCGAGACAGAATTTTTATGTGGCCCACACAGGGTTTACTTTGTAGTATGCTTTTAGTGAACAAACTCATAAGTCTCTCTCTACTGTTAACAATGTGCTGTTTCTGTTTGAGTTTCTGACAAACCTTTTCCCCTTTGTCATCTTTTCCTAGTTTAATGGATCGAGAAGTGGCATTGCTTGCTGAAATGGACAAAGTGAAAGCTGAAGCAAGTAAGATTGATCTGTAGTTAAAGCTATTACCAGTTAGTACGTATCTGCCTTTTGACCGTCATAACAAAAGCTCAATATAAATGCCACTAGAAGAGTTTATATATTTATTTAAACAGTCTTGAGCAGTTGTACTGCCCTGGCATGTGAATCCTTTCAGGTGAAACAACTTTGCAAGAACCTGTTATTTTTTAATTTTAATATTTTGAATGTAAAATTCAGTGTCTAAGGGAGTACCTCATGGTTTCTGCCACCACAGCATCAACTTAAGAAAATAAAGGATCCTTGCAGGTGCCTGGGTTTTGTTTTATTTTGTTTTTAGCTTCCAGTGATTGAACAGTTCCATCGGACTTTTTTCTACTTGGCAAAAAATGTTTGGCATAATCAGAGGAGACTTGACCAGGTTACCTACATGTTAGTGTAAGCATTCCTGTCATTACCTATCTCCGAACTTTCATTGTTTTCTCGGTTTTAGAACAGTCTTCACTCAGTGTCTGTGATCATTAGGTAGGGGAATTCAATGAAATTAGGTTTTAGGATACATGACTAGGGTTCCTTGAAAGCCTCCTAAAAGGTTCGGGAAGAATAGAGTCTAACTTGGGTAATTGGTGGGGTTTTTGTAGCAAAGAACCAGATACGTTTTTTGTCCTTTCTGTTAAAGGTTAGGTAGAAGATACACAGCTGTATGGAAAGAAAGGCCTGTCAGTTGCAGCTTCTACAGTGGCATTGACTGGGGGCTTTTCAACAGTGGGTTTTACCTTCATGTGTTGAATGCTAGGTTTGTAATTAGGAGGGTTGTTTCTTTTAACCTGCTCTCAAACTGGTAAGAATGGAAATGGGTTGAGATGATGACTCACAATTAAATCATTTGTGTTTATGGTCATGGGCCAGAGGAGACACAGAGCTGAGTTCAGTTTTGACCTGAAATGTTGAACAGGTACTTTCCACTGTTTTTCAGAGGTGAGATTTCATTTAAATCGAGTGGTATATCCTGAAATGTCTAAATGTGACAATTTCAATCCATTCATGTACCTATGTGTTCTATTTTGAAGTTTCAGATAAAATAAAACTAGTGAGAAGACATAGTCCTTACTTTTGAGAAGGTGCTTTTTAAAAACAGAAATTTTGGGGCGCCTGGGTGGCTCAGTCGGTTAGGCGACTGCCTTCGGCTCAGGTCATGATCCTGGTGTCCCAGGATCGAGTCCCACATCAGGCTCCCCGCTCAGCGGGGAGTCTGCTTCTCCCTCTGACCCTCCTCCCTCTCCTGCTCTCTGTCTCTCATTCTCTCTGTCTCAAATAAATAAATAAAATCTTTAAAAAAAAACAAACACTAAAAAAACAAATTTTATAGAAAATTCCAAACATTTCAAATAGATAGACTAATATAATTAACTGCCCTCATCCAATTTCAACTAATTATCAATTCGTGACCAATCTTTTTTTATCAAATTAAGAGCTACCGAGTTTTACTTAATTTCATCAATTGTATATCTGTATCTCCTTTCTCTCATGCTAAAAATCCTGGTTCTCTTTTTTTTTTTTTTAAGATTTTTATTTGTTTGACACAGAGAGAGAACACAAGCAGGGGGAGTGGCAGGCAGAGGCAGAGGGAGAAGCAGGCTCCTCACCAAGCAGGGAGCCTGATGCGGGGCTCCATCCCAGGACCCTGAGATCATGACCTGAGCCGAAGGCAGACGCTTCACTGACTGAGCCACCCAGGCGCCCCAAGAAACAGTTATTGTTGCAGTGCCCTTCCACAGACACTTAGTACGACAGAGTCTTTGGTTAGGGGCAGCTGGGACAACCACACTGATCAAATTAATTATATAAACTTTGTCACTCCGATTTTCTGCTTTGGTATACAGCAGGCTGGGGTGGAGTTAAATCCAAGTGTCCCCTTACATACTCTTGGATCTTCAGCCTCTGCAGTGATAGCACAGTTCTCTTCCACAAGTTATGCTCCTGCCCACGGAGCCCCTTCCCCTGCAGCCCGCCCTGCTTCGATGGGCTCATCCTGCCTGGGCAGTGCAGCTGCTCCACTAGGCCATCCAGAGCCTTCTGGCTGCACTGATAACCGTGCTCCCTCGGGGTTTCTAAGCCCACTCTCCCTAGTCTTCTTGTTCTTCTGACCAGCCCTCCTCCATCTCCTGAAGTTCCGCTCTCAAGCCTCCACTCTTTCCCCTACACATTCCTCCCGGACCATCTCCCTCCTGTTTGAAACCCTCCCACCAGCTCCCTACGACCATGAGGACAAACAGGAACCTTTTCTTCCTGTGCCCTAGAAGACTCTGCACACCTGATTCCTGTCCCCTCACCAGTCTCCTACGCGTCACCTTTAAAAATTCTCGTTCTCGGGGCGCCTGGGTGGCTCAGTTGGTTAAGCAGCTGGCTTCAGCTCAGGTGGTGATCCCAAAGTCCCAGGATCAAGCCCCATATTGCTTCCTGCTGAGGAGGGAGCCTGCTTCTCCCTCTGCTCCTCACCTCTCTCACTCTGTCTCGCTCTCTCTTGCACTTTCTCAAGTGAATAAATAAAATCTTTAAAAAAAAAATCCTCGTTCTCAGTGTCACTAAATGTAATTACTCATTTATCAATACTTTCAAGAATGTGCTTCTTTTTCTTTTTTACACATAATAGTTTTATTAATTTATATGTTCACAGTACTTCACAGTTTAGAGTTTTTTCACTCATTCATCTATGATCTTCACATTAACCTTATGAGATAATTGGGTTTTCCTATTTTTGTTTTCATTTAGTAAATGAAGAAACTAGTCCTTTGGAAAAACTGTGACTGGTCCCAAGTTATGTAATTAGGTCCTCTGATATATGTGGAGATCTTGACTTGACACATTTCCTCCATGTTGAGATCTGAGCTTTTGTCTTAGAATCCTAGAGTGTGGGAGCTGAGAAGCAAGTGAATTTGGCAGACAGGTTTTATCTTGGGAGCCAGATCAAGTAGATCATTTGTAACTGTTGGGCCTTGGTGTCAAGAAACTTTTGTAGGCACATTCCTCACTTATTGGGAAAGTTCTTACTGATTAACTTGCCGTGGATAGGGGTACCCCATGGGTGGCATACATGTGGCAATCATGCTCAGTAAAATTGCTAAAGACATTCAGCTCTCTGGAATACCTGATGTAGCTCTTGGAAAATTCTATTTATTTTCTAACACAAATTTGGCTAATTTCTAAGTAGGTTACAGGATTCTATGTATAACAGTTAGGAACTGAGTTTGACTGCATGCAACAGAGTGGCCTAAATAAATGTTAGTTTATTTTTCTCTCATGAAATGAAAGGTCCGGAGGTAAGTGATCAGGGCTGGCAAGACAAGACATCTCCAAAATGACACGAGGGACCCAGGCTTCTTTGTCTTTGTACCCAGCCATCCTTAGAGTGTGCTTATGGTCAAAAGATACCTCCTAAGGCTCCAGTCGAGGAGAGGCAAAATGTTACCTGCTGGCTAAGACTTCTTTAAAGAGTTGTCCTGTAAACCCCACCCCGTGAGTTCTGCTTAGATCTCAGTGACCAAACCATGTGATAACATAACCAAGTCATGTGATAACACAATTATCTTATCTGTAGCAAAGCCAAGAAATGTAGATTTTTACCTAAGCAGATTGGTACCCAAAACATTGGACTTCCAGTAGGAAGAAGAGGAGAATGGATATGCGGTGGCTAATAGTCTTTGCTACAGTCCACCCCTCAACTACCCGACATCCTTCTTTTTTTAAAAAACAGGAACACACTCACCTCCTTCTCAATGGCAACACCTCCAAAGACTCATCTAGTTAGAATATTCAGTTGAAAGTCCAGGACTGCTGGGTAATTTCAGATCTTTCAACAGGTCTGAATATGGCATGTTGTGGTCTGGGGTCCCATAAGTTAAAAGACAAGTAAAATTCCCCCCTCCTCCAATGTCATACAGATAGAGAAAGAAGAGGATAACTATAGTAAAAAATTCCCACCTGGAAAAGCAGTGATCCAATCTTACTGGACAGGAATAGCAGAGTCCCTGCCCTTCTAATAGAGAAAGTTCCTTTGTTCATATGGCAGCTCCTAGTTCTGCTTCCTTGGAGGATTTATTTTGCTCACATCCTTTATATAGCCCCTGGTTCTCTACTCTGAGAGAATTTTTTCCCCTGTATTGTCTCTTGTCCTCCATGGCCATATCTGATTTATATATCCAGGAGCATGCCAAAGAATATACTTCTTACAAGGCTGTAAATAATCTAAATATCCACCATTAGGGGACTTGGTAAATAATGATAGTGTAGCCACATAGTAGAATACAGTGTGGCTGTTAACCAGTGAGGGATATCCAGCATATTAATAGCGAATGAACTTTGAGATATGTTAAGTAAAAATAGCTAAGGTAAAGGAAAGGACCATGTGTATGATATATTCCCATCCATGAAGAGGGGGAAAAGGGAGAAAGATTTGCTGTGTGTGCCTAGAATACATCTGGAAGAATCCATACGAAATTGTTAACATTGGTTTCCATTGAGGCAACTACAAAGTTAGAAGTAGGAGGGACACTTTTACTTTTCATCTTATACCCATTTATTCTAGGTGAATTTTTTTACCCTGGGTACATATTTCTGTTTTAATTCATAGGTTTCTTGATTAAAAGAATTTTTTTTGACTGGGAAGAGGAGAAAGAGAAATGACAAATGATATATGAGTCTTTATGATTCATAAAAAGTGTTTACCATTTAACTGCCTTCAGAGTCCCTCAAGAAGGTGGAAACTGGACCTTTGGTATTTTCATTTTCTGGATGGGTGGGCAGCTAAGCCTTTGGCTGTCCAAATACATACTGCAAGGCCCATATTTCCAATTCTTCTTTATCCTATTTAGCAGAACATAAGAGTCATACTCTCCTTTTCTCCACAGTGGAAATTTTGCTCAGCCGACAAAAGAAAGCCGAACTTCTAAAGAAGATGACTGATGTGGCTGTTCGAATGTCAGAGGAGCAGTTGGTTGAGCTCAGAGCTGATATCAAGGTAAAACTTTCTTCTCCTTTCTGCCTTTCTTTTACCCTCGGGGACTGAAGCAGCAGATCTCCATAATTCATGGCCATGTCTCATATATTGAACTCAAGATCTTCCCTTTTCAAATCTGGCCCTCTTCCATGTTCCCTTTCTCTGGAAGCGGTACTGTCATCTACCCAGGTGTCCAACCTGGAAACCTTAGAAAATTTCTCCTTTCCCACATTAAATCTATCAGCAGACCCTGTCCATTTGACCTCCTACCAAATCTCAGCTCTGACCTTTTCTCCTCATCTCCACCACCACCGTCATGGTCAAGCCACTGTTATCTCTCATTTGGCCTTCTGTCATGGCCTCCTAACTGATTCCACCCAGCCACTTTGCCACTGCCCCACCTTCCCCAGCCCTCTGTTCCTCGCACCTCGCTTCAAACCTTCCATTGCTTTTAGGATAAAGACTATCATCCTTAACATGGCCTATAGGGCTCCGCAGGGTCTGGCTCTGCCATCGTCTCATTTCACACATGTCCCCCCTTGTTCTCTATACTCTGGCCATCTTAGCTTCTCCTTTCCACAAACATATTCTGTTCCCTCCTGCTAGAGGGCTACTGCATATGCTTTTCAGTCTGTACAAAACACACCCCCCACCCACTCCCAGCACACAGATAACCAGGACCTACTCATGCTTCCTGACTTTCCTGTCATATTCCCTATTTTGTGCCTTCCTAGCATAGTTATCATTTTTTGTTCATCTGACTGATCTGTCTTCTCAGCTAGATGGTGAACTTTACAATGGCAGGAACTGGCACATCTCCAGCACCTAGCATAGTGCCTTGGCACATAGTAGATAATCAGTAAATATATATATATTTTAAAGATTTTATTTATTTATTTGACAAAGAGAGAGACAGTGAGAGAGGGAACATAAGCAGGGGGAGTGGCAGAGGGAGAAGCAGGCTTCCCACTGAGCAGGGAGCCTGATGCGGGGCTCGATCCCAGGACCCTGAGATCGTGACCTGAGCCGAAGGCAGTCACTTAACCAACTGAGGCACCCAGGTGCCCCATCAGTAAATATTTAAATAGTTGGTTGGTTGATTCTGATTTTTTTTTTAAAGATTTTATTTATTTATTAGAGAGAGCACAAGCAGGGGAAATGGCAGGCAGAGGGAGAGGGAGAAGCAGGCTTCCTGATGAGCAAGGAGCCCGATGCGGGGCTCGATCCCAGGACCCTGGGATCATGACCTGAGCCAAAGGCAGATGCTTAACTAACTGAGCCACCCAGGTGCCCCTGATTCTGATTTTATAAGAAAAATGAGCAGTTTGATTATATTGTAATCTGTTTATAACGATGACCGAGGTTCAACACTCATACATTTTGAATTCTTATATAAAGAGCAAGTGTTTCTGAGACTAAGGGTGGAAACCTGAAAGAGGTTGAGTTGTTCATGGGTAGTGGTAGACATTGGCTTTCTAAATGAAAACCTGTGAGCTGTGGGAACAAGGGGAGTTGGCCGACCCTCCTCCTAAGCCCTTAACCTCTGCTCTTCTGGAACACACGAGACTTTCTGCCATCTTTAAGAGGGGAAGGTGGGGCAGTGGGCTTGCTGCAGGGGCTGTTTCACAGTCTTTGTAAAGTGAAAACAGGTGGAAGATCAAATAAGCCCTTCCAGGTATCCTTGTCACCATTCTGAGCCAGTCTTTCATTCCTTCCCCCTTAAACGCTATTGGGGTGAAATAGCAAAACAATGCCAATATGAAATTACCATTTCTGATTAACTAGAACTATATTACTAAAAATTATAGAAAGTCATCTTCACATTGATGCCAGTCAGTCTCATTCAACTATCCGGGAGAAGCCGGAAACCCCTTTGGAATTAGATGAGAGTTCTGGCTCTCACAGGCTTCATCTGTTCTCCTTCCCACGTGGTTAAAAAGCTGCTAGAAATATTTCTGCAGGCTGACTAAGGATCTGTTTCTCTCCACATTTTCAGTGTACTGAAGTGGGTGCAGTGCAATTTAAATGTCTTATTTCCAGATCATTTTATTTCTGTCATTCCTGTTATGTCTCTGGCTCAACAAACCCTAGAATTTGTTTCAGAATTACTCTCCGACTGATATTACATGTCTGAAGGCTTTATGTCACAGAGGTTCATGTTTCCTAAGCCACAGTGTACTCTGAAGCTTTAGGACTTCAAGGCTCAGAGGGAATTTTGATGTCTCCTTTCCCATTTACTGCTTTAGATCCATCCCAAGGAATCTGATGCATTTGATTATACCCCTTGACAATCCAGAGTTGAATTAGACCACCTGCCAGAGGGCTGTTCTGAGGAGTTTAGTTCTTGTAAATTATATCTAGGCCTTTAACTTGTCTTTTTCACCTCCTTTTCATCTGGGGAAAAAAAAAAAAAAAGATCCCAGGCTACCTTGGAGATTGTTTACTGAAAGACACCCCCAGAAGCACTTTATTCCTGACATGTTTCTTGTCCCACAGTCTCTAGTTAGTTTTGACCCAAGGGGTTGATTACTTTTCAGCTCAGTCTGCTCAAAAGGATTAAATTACTTGCAGCACAAACCCTTCTCATTTGCAAGGTTGGCTTTTCACATGAATGATTTTCCATCTCAGGAAGTTGTCCCCATTTTGAGGACTATAACAAATCCTACTTCATAAAGGGATGAAGTGGGTTTCCTAAGGAAGTTCCTATTAAAGAACACCAAGCCATCTGTTTACACGGTATCATTGTTGTAACTTATGAGCATTTTTGCTGCCTCTGTATAAAATGGAACAATGTGGAGAGTAGCCAACAGTGGAAAGATGGCCCTCTACTATAAGCTTTTTCTTCTGTCTCTACAGTTTATTTCTCTTGATTATACTTAATGGGCTTTGGCCATCATGGAGCATTTCATAAAGCTCTCCAATAGATTTCTCTTTGGGCCTTAAGAAAATGACTGGATTTCGTCACCCAGCGTAGGTAATATGATGGCCATTTTGCAAAATTTGAAGCCGTAAAAAAAGGCAGCAGGAAATAATTCTGTTTCATCTCTGTACAGCAAGCTGCGGCTTCTGCTTGTCTTGCTGCTTGTCTCACCCGGAGGCTTTCCTTTGTCCTTTCCCCAGCACTTTGTCAGTGAGCGTAAATATGATGAGGATCTGGGACGAGTAGCCCGGTTCACCTGTGACGTCGAGACCCTAAAGAAGGACATTGAGTCATTTGGACAAGGTAAGATGGTGAGAGGTTCTGGGTACTAGAGATGGTGATGAGAAGACCCTGCTCATCAGAGACTGAAGTTGTGGCTTCTCCACTGATTTGTCTTTAGTGCCTTTTGGGTTTTGGTTTGCTTGTTTTTGTGAAAAGTAATTCTGAGATATCTAAGAAGTCACCGGATGCAGTCTTTGAGCTCAGAAGATGGGGGTTCTCCGGCTCTCTAAATTTGCGATGTTAAGGGGCTCTGGAGTCAGACCGAGTTTGAATCGTTGCCTTTATATTAACCTCTAGAGCTTCATTTCACTCCTCTCCCAAGTGGAGATAACAATATCTGCCTGGCCTGGCACAGAAAAGGTGCTTAAATAATGGCTGTAAGGGTAGGGGGAGCCCTCCCCTAACTTGAGAGCTTATAGGGACACATCAGTCAAACATTGAGCTCAGCTCCTTTATTCTTTCTGTGTCAGTAGAAAAGTGAAAGGTTGGACCTAGAGCAGTGATTGTGAACTCAGCATCAGTCCAGGCTTAAAACCAAGAAAAAAAAATGTAAGAGGTAGTTTTAAGTCCTTGAATTCTGACAAAATTTGAAGTGAAAATATATTTTTCAGTTACATTGGTATTTTGAATTTGGGATTATTTTTGCGGAAAGAACCTTGGGAAGATACATGTTTGTTATAAAGACTAGTTCTGTTCATGTTTAACTAATCTTGATTATTTATATCTTGCATCATACAGATTTTTTTAGAAAAGGATTTAGCTTTTTATTCACCTTTTTCTTTCTTCATGAAGTCAGTACTTCAGAATGTTCCCGCATAGGAAACTGAGCATATGGCCCATACTATTGTTCCTAGGCTTAGTCAGCTGCTGGAGCCATAACCAGGAGTTTAGTAGGAAATGCTGAGAAGTCATTAGTTGATGGGGGAACGATTACTCTGCTCTTACACTGTTCTCCTGTCTCTGAGCGTTCCTTTACAAAGCAATGGGGATTCACTAACTGGAATTTAAATAAAAACTTGAACAAAAAACAAAGCAGTGAGGATTTGGAAGGAGTGGAAGAAGAGGGAAGAAGGGAGATTTTGCTTCCTGTTACCCATTTTGTAAGCTTACCTTTACAACTACTCAGGTAGACAGTTCTTTATCTTAAGTTGCTTATTGTGAAATGAAGAAATAGGGAAAACCTTACCCATCATATGACAACATACTCCTCATGTTTTCATTCAGTGTCCCATCCAAAGAACAGCTATTCAACCAGATCCCGACACAGCTCAGTTACATCTGTGTCCTTGAGTAGCCTGTGTGATGCCTCTGCTGCTTCCTCGTCCTCCTGGGCCTCTGCCCCCAGCCTTACAGGCGCTAACAAGAAGAACTCGGCACCAGGAGAGACTCCCACAGCCACGGCAAACTCCAGTGGCCGGCCCTTCCAGCCTCATCGGGAGGTAACCCAGCTGCCCCACTAAGCCAGTGACAGAGAAAGGTTACCAGGTTGTCACCGTTTAAATGCTGACAGCTCAGTCCATTACCTTCCTCTCTTGATGCCCATTCCACACCTATTTTGAATCCCTCCAGCCCCAGTTAGTTCGAGACAGCATTTGGTACGTCTGCTCTGAACCACCAGCTAGCTTAGATTTCCTGTTGCCAGGACTGCTGACTTTCTCAAGTTGGCAGCAGTCCTAGCTATTGTAGGTAGTATTGCCTGGTAAGTCGTCACCCAGGGAGCCGTGCCCCCATCTCGAGGTGGAGGAACAGCAGAGTGGCAGGCTCTGCAGAGTGTGTCGGCGGCAGCAGCTCCCTGGAAGCCCAGTGTGGAGTATCTCAGGGAGAGAGCGTGAACCTGCTGGTGGGGGGGGGGGCGAACACCAGGAAGTTGAAGCATAATCCGTAGTTTCTTCTCCTATTTGAAGAAGATACACAAGAGCAATCCAAGGCAGTGCTGTGCAGAACTGGGATTACATTGGAAGCGGAGGACGAAAATAAAACCCTGTGCCGTAATAAGCCTTCTGGGTTGTAATGTGAAAGATGTCCTAAATATCACAGCAGCAGGATTTAATCTATGGCTGGTGATGTATAGCAAAGCAGATTATAATGATGTTTCTTTTATTATTCCAGATGTTCATTATCTTTACAAATGGCTTGTGATCCACAGAGTTCAGCCATGTAATAAGATGCTTGCCCAATTGAGGGTTGGAACAGCCCAAAGAATGTTCTTTCTTCCTTCTTAGCTTTCTTCTTGCGCCCAGCTAAAGAAAAGTGAACTCTCCTCTCCAGTGGACAGCCTAGGGGTGAAAGGTGGGGCAAAAGTAGCGAAGGATTTCTTAATTCTGGGGTAGTGGCTAGGTTGGATTGGCTGACACAATTCTGGGAGTCTTGAGAGATAACTGAGTCCCAAGTGTGGAATACCACAATTTAGGCTTTCAGAATACTCCTGGAAGCTGAACTGGAACAGACAGGGTGCCATAATGCCAGAGTGTTTTGAACACTGTATTCTTTTATCCTCAGGTATTGCCGGGGAACAGACGAGGAGCACAAGGCTACAGGCCACAAGGCCAAAAGTCCAATGACCCCATGAACCAAGGGCGACATGACAGTATGGGTCGTTACAGAAATAGTTCATGGTATTCATCTGGTTCCAGGTATCAGAGCGCTCCATCCCAGGCATCAGGAAACATTAGTGAACGGGGCCAGGCCCACTCTGCAGGGACCAATGGAACTGGAGCCAGCATGGAGACCAGCCCACCCAAGCCCTCATTCAAAAAGGGGCTCCCCCAGCGCAAACCTAGGACCTCTCAGCTTGGGGCTGTGAACTCTTGAGGTTCCAGCTGGCCTCTCTCCTCTATCCCACACAATTCAACTTGGTAACTGGACTTATTAGGAAACTTATAGTTAGATGTAATAACAAAAAGAAGTTTACACATATCACTTTTTATGCCATTCTAAATATTTTTGGTTTCTTCTCTCCTCGTTTCCTCTTTACCATTTTTGGAGGGGAAGCTGTTTTTTCCCTTGACCTTTCCCAATGATATGGATTGATTCTAATTGGTCATTTCCACCCGGAATCACAGGCCACTGATACCAGGTTTCCCAAGGGTCAGCGGTGCCCTTCCTGGTGCACAGGGCCTTTCAGTTGCCGGAAGAGGCCTTCCTCAGCACCTCCCTGCCGTTCAGGCTCTCAGGAGGAGGAGGTGGGTCAGAGCTAGTCCAGCTGCCTCTCCAGGCTAAGCAGAAGCCACACGTTCCTGTCAGGTGCCCTCTACACAGCAGTGTGACCAGGAAAGGCAGTGAGGGGATTGTGTCCTGCACTGAATTAGCCAGAGAAGGGGACATTTAATTGGTGAAAAGGAAGGAACACTAGAAAATGTTTGAGAATCTGCCTCCGCTCCCAGAACGTACCTGAGATTGACCCTCAGATCAGGGTTCCAGTCTCTGGCTTGGCCCTGTAGCTTCACCCGCCGTCTCTTCAGAATGCCCAAAGCCTTGTTTTCCTATCGCCTTAGACTGCAGACCAGTCTAGGGAAATCGGTGGGAGAGTAGCATTTAATTAAAGGAAAAAACAAGTATTTCTTGGTTTCAGTGTTTGAAGATTTTTGTTGTTATTGTTCTCCCTTGTTCCTGAATCCTCTTCTGATCCTCAACCACATTTATAGCAATATAATTAGTGTTGATCTAAGGTGTTACCCATCAGAAAATTGCCGCGGTCTTTATAGTTGAATAAATAAAATCAACTGCGTAAATGTTCCCACCTTTGTCTCACAACAGCAAATGCCTTCATTTCATCAGCCGGGTTTCTTTGGGCCTCGTGGGGCAGAAGTCACTCGGGCAGCTTGTTCGGGCCTTAAATGAGGGTGGCTGATTCCTGAGTCATTTGTCCACCGCCTAGCTGCAGCACCAGAAGAAAATGTAAAGGCCAGCATGAGCAAATGCAGCTGTTCCTTATGGGAAAGGATTCGTGTATAGGGAACGGTGACTTTCCAAAGGAAGCTTGCCAGTTGAGAAAAACCCCAGCTGCCAGGAACTCTCCCAGGCAACCCCTCTCCTCCGAGGCCTGCCTGCCCCTTGACAGGCGTAGCGAGTGTAATGGTGTAATTGAGCGCCTGCATGTAGCAGGTGGCACTGGGGCCAGACTCCTCCACCCCACACCACCCCCAGCATCTATGACTGAATAACAGCAGAGCTTTTTCCTTCTCTGGAGTCTGCAGGCCGGCCTGCAAGTGGCAGTGGGGCAGAACTTAGCCGCCTCAGGGCTTCCCTTGGCTCTTCGGCTGCAACTCAGCTGCCGGAGTTCAGGTTGGTTGAACAGATTGAGAGAGGGAGAGAATGTGTGTGTGTGTGTGTGTGTGTGTCTTTCAGTAAAGAAAACAGTAGTCAAGGAATACTAGGAAGCCATTTTCTAAAGGGCTGATCACCTCATTTGGGGGAATTTGTCCAACAACACCATCAGCCTGCTGAGTGTCAGGGAGAAGCCCTTCTTTTCTGATTAATTGCTTCCCTTTCTATACTTGACAGAAAATCCAGAGATTGAAGTAACCTTGAAGGATTATGAGGTCTTTCCCTGTATCCAGGCAAGACTGTATTTAACCTCCTAGGTGGATGGGAGGCCTCATGTTTGTCAAAACCACCTTGAAGAGGGGCACTGGGCTGGCTCAGTTGTAGAGCATGTGACTCTTGATCTCAGGGTTGTGGTGCCTGGCTGGCTAAGTTGGTTGGGCCTCCTCCAACTCTTGGTTTCGGTTCATGTACATGATCTCATGGGTTGTGGGATCAGGCCCGCATTGGGCTCCTTGCTCAGCGGGAAGTCTGCTTGGGGATTCTCTCCCTCTGCACCTCCCCCTACTCTCTCCTTCCCTCTCTCTCAAATAACCTTTAAAAAGGGCGGGGGCGCCTGGGTGGCTCAGTCCTTAAGCGTCTGCGTTCGGCTCAGGTCATGATCCCAGGGTCCTGGGATCGAGCCCCTCATCAGGCTCTCTGCTCAGCAGGAGGCCTGCTTCTCTCTCTCCCACTCCCTCTGCTTGTGTTCCCTCTCTCGCTGTGTCTCCCTCTGTCAAATAAATAAATAGAATCTTTAAAGAAATAAAATTTTAAAAATAAAAAAAAGAGTGTATACAACTTAAATCTCTTTCCATGTCAGTATTCATAAATATACCTTGTTCTTTCTGTGGCTACATAATATCCCATTGTATAAACTTAACATAATTAACCAGTCCCTAATGATGGTTTTCAGTTTTTTGTTATCATAAGTATTGCTGAAATGAGCATCTTATAATACATATATAATTTTTACTTGTGAGTATATCTTCAGGGTAGATTCCTAGGATGGAGTTGCTGGGCCATATAGTTATTGAAAAAGCCCTTTTACAGATGCATGGATTTACACTCTTCATCAACAACGTTTGGGAGTGCTTTGTACAGCTGCTAAGCTGGAAGCTAAGGAGAGGTAAAGATAAGTAAACTACAGCCCTTCAAGGGGCTGATACCCTAGTTGAGATGACTGACACATTGAATAAGATACTAGGAGGTAGTAGTGTTGCATGAAAGAGCCCCCCTGTCTGGTGAGTACAGTGCACGAAGCACTGCGCTGAGGGCTGGGGCCTGGGCTTACAATAGGACTAGACCAAAGAATGGTCAGGCTTTTGTTCAGTGACTTAAGATACGGTGACCTCGTATTTCAGAATCCCAAGCCAGGGTGCAGTCATGTGAGTACGAATGTATGTATGGGGAAAAGCAAGATAACCTATTTTAGGTTGGGAGTGACCTGGAGAAGCCAGCCAGCAGTGATGATTACCAGTCTGTGAACGAACCTGTACTTTCGGAGATCAGTGAAGTAATGACGTGCTGCCCCCTGGAAATTCTGCCTCTTGACCTAACAAAATGAGGATCTGTCTTGCCTGATTTATAGGGTTCAACCCACCTTCTTACCCCACCCGGTGGGGTTATATCTATAAGGCAGCACACTTCGTGGGAGAAAAAGTTGTTCAAGTCAGTATATATTTGGAGGTCACCCAAAAGAAGCTGTTGTCACTGTTTGGCCCGTTCGGAGTACCAGAGTGAATCCTGGTAGCCGGAACAACGAGACTGTTCGGTCAGGCTCGACGTCTGGTTGCATTGGCCACCTGAGCACATTCTTTCCTTCAAACATTGGGGCACCTACTGTGTGCTGGGCACTATGCTGAGTTCGGAGGCAAAGATAAATGGTTCCAGGTCTTTCCTCAGCCACTTTGCCGGTGAAGGAAACAGAGCTCTTAGCTCTTTAAACTCTTGGAAGTCGGGTCTGGTGGCTACGCAGTGTGGTGGAGGGGAAAGACCCAGGACTTCTAAGACATACACTTGGATTTTAATTCTGCCTTCCCAACTTGCTAGCTCTGTGACCCACTAGCCTTGGGCAAATTACGTCACATCTTCCTGAACTGTAAGTGGACACAATGGCAACTACTTCCTGGAGGGGCGGGAGGGTCGCTACCCTGGTGCCTGAGCTAACCAGTGACACGCTGAACATCCACTCAGCAGAACTCCTTTGCTTTTCCGTCTCTCCTGCCCTGTTAAAAAGAGTGTGGGGGCGCCTGAGTGGCTCAGTCGGTTAAGCGACTGCCTTCGGCTCAGGTCATGATCCTGGAGTCCCGGGATCGAGTCCCGCATCGGGCTCCCTGCTTGGCAGGGAGTCTGCTTCTCCCTCTGACCCTCCCCCCTCTCATGTGCTCTCTCTCATTCTCTCTCAAATAAATAAATAAAATCTTTAAAAAAAAAAAGTGTGAAAGACTTCCCCTATCTCCAGCCAGACAGACCTAGGAAGAAGGTCAAAAAAGAATGACTCCATCACGCTATCCCTTCTGTAGTTTTTCTCCTGCGTGCCTACCCCCCCAGGACAGTGTGCTCCGTACCCCTCTTGTCTGTCTGCCATACCCATCAGAGAAGCCCGCCATCACCTCCCGGTTCCGAGCTCTGGGGGGGCGGGGGGGGGGAGCAGGTGCAGGCCAGAGGCCGACGGTGCTGAGCAAGGTAAACAGCAGCATAGCCGTGCGCGGGAGTGAGGCCGGAGCTGGGGCTGCCCAGAGGAGAGTCAGGGAACGTTCTTTCCGTCCAGGTGCTGAGGCCGCCTTGTTACCGGCTCTGCTCCTCACCCAGGGGGAGACGCTATCTGACGATGTTACTGGGGAAGGAAACTCACCCACCATCACTGCCACCAGCACAACCATTCCCCAGCCCGCCCGCCCCTTCACTGCCGTCAAAACAGCAGGAACAAATACCACCCACTCTGATTCCTCAGGGAAAAGTCAGGTCTCCTTTTTATGTCTCTCTTCAACTTAACCCAGTTAGGCTTTCTCTATAACTAGATTTCAAACAAATCCGTTTTCTGGTGTTGCTAGAACATGCAGATTGAGATTGAGATTTCTCAGACTTACTCCCTTGCCCGGCACAGGCAGGACTGCTGTAGACTCCCCTCCCCACGGGGCTGGGGAGCCAGCAGTCAACCGCAGTAGCTCCCCATGGTTTGGGGGGCCGGGTTGCTGGGCACTGTGGGCACTCACGACAGGTCACTGAACGCTCATCCAAATGACCATGCTGTCCCCTTTGAATAGGCTTTTTGCCAAAGGATAGGACAAAGCACTCCAGCAAGATGGCACAGTAACAAACTGTCAACATAGTCAAATCTTGATTCATAGCTGGTTCCTCCACTTACTAGCCGTATGACATACAGCAGCTTCCGTACGTGTAAATAAAACCATGTATCTTCCAGGATTCCCTCGTTTGAAAATGTATTCTGGTTTACTCACCCTAGCTAGGATCCTCCATTAACAGAAAAGGAATGACCTAGAATGAGATCGCCAAGGAGTGGCCAAGTACTGGAGGCCTCAAAATTTTCCAAAATGTGTGTTTGTTTTGGTGGCAATGGGGAACCTTCTGTGAGGCTTCCTCCTGAGCTCATTTCCGCATTTCCAGCACCCACGGCCAGGGTAAGCACGCAGGGGGACTCTGATAACAATCCCAACCATCTACTAAGCTCATCTCAACAGTCCTTTGAGGAGAGATCATTTCACAAACGAAGGAACTGATGCTCTTGGAGATTAACACCCACCCAACTCCTATCCCCGTCCAAGGTCATCAGTGGCAGACCCAGAATTCAAATCCAGACTCGCCTGACTTGGAAACCTGAGATTTTCCCACCGCTCAACACAGCCTTGGAAGCAGAGCCTGGCCACATTGGCTGACAGAGCCAGGCTGGAAACAGACCTGGGGACCTCCAGAAAGGAGGGAGAAAGTGGGAAGAGGAGAGGGGAGGGGCCCAGGGCTCTGTTCCTCGACAGCCACCTGCTCTCACCCCCTGCACACGGTGACTGACTCCGCCTGCGCTTTGGGGGATGGGGTGCTTTTTCCATCTTTTGTGTCTTGAACGGTTTTTCCCTTGCTTTGCTCTTCTCTCTCTCCTAGTTCCTTTTGTAGATAATACTCCCACAGGCCTCCCACGGCAGCTCCAAAACGCAGCCTCCTGAGTTTCTTCTTTTTGATAATGGCTTTGAGCTGTCTCTGAACAGGGCTCCCTCAACCTTCCCCTCCCTGTGACTCCCCACTGTGGCCCAATGAGTCAAGAGTTGGGGAAATGGAAGGGGAAAGGGGCTTACTGTGCTCCCTGACCTCCCAGTACCCCTGTTCACTTCTCAGCTCCTCCCCAACCCCCATCTGTCTGTCTCCTAGATGTGGGTCCCCACCCCTTATTGTATATGTACGGTGGGGGGGCGGGCATG